TTCTACTTATCCACTGAAAAATTCACTTGTCCCTAACAGGTAAACAAGCTTCAGTATTAAGCCCTGTAGTGTTCTGTTAGTATTATTGTAACCTAACAGCAATTTGGAGTCTTCCACTGGACTGTAAGTTAGGGCAGGCTGGGGAGCAGTCAAATAATGTAGTGATATCCAGATGCTGTAACAAATTATATTGTATAGACAAAAAGGATTAGCAGACCTTTGTGTGCATATGACATAGTAGTAAATACATTAGAGCCTGCAATGTCTGCAAGTGACTAGCAGGTGTATATACAGCTTTAGGCATAAAGTTGTTGATTTACCGATATGGCAGTGGGTTACGGTGCATGTGATCACTCACTGAACTTCAGAGAGTGTGAACAAAAAACATTTAGGTTGTAGACCGCATACACACAATATTATCAGATGGTGTCGATATCAGAATTATATTGTTTCAAAGAACCTTTTTGTACAATAAATTTTTAAATTGGATATTTAAAATGGAGTAGTCCCACCGATGGTTACTTGAATTTTTGACACCATCGTGTCAACACGCCAATGCCCAGAGGAAATGTAGTACTGCAGTGAAACAGTACAAATCACAAATAAATTGTTGTCTACTTGTTATTCTTTTTTAAATTTTATTTTAATTTTGCGTTATTATATTTTCCTTGTTGACAGATTGTTGTTGTGAGAAACAGTGCTTTACTTCCTGTTCTCTTCCGCAGGGATGCCAGTTTGGTTTTTCATGAAGATTGCCCCAATCAGAAATGAGCAGGACAAAGTTGTCCTGTTTCTCTGCACTTTCAGTGACATCACTGCCTTCAAACAACCGATTGAGGATGAAGCTTCTAAAGGTGGGTTGGTTCCAAAGTGTGGGTAATCTTGACAGAGACAAAAGACAAACACAGAAAAGGCTGAAGGAACAGAATAGGAGCACACAGCTGGATTAACCTAAGGATATAAAAAACAGAAACTCAAAACTATAGGGACTTCAATGGGACTTCTTCAGGAGCAGAAGTCCCATTGTAAACATATCACGGCAGACCCGACGATGTTTGCATGAACACGCTTTTCAGCATCTCTTTATTGACCACTTTTCACACACGGTTGCTGTACGCATACAGCCGGCTGTAGCTTTTCAGCTCACAGCCCGACACACACCAACACAACA